TACTTAAGGAATTTCCTGTCTTATTTTTCTTTGTGGTCGACAGTGTCATATATACGTTTCGTATATGTATCAACAGTTCCTGTTGATACATTTTGAATGTTAGTGTTTAAAAGAAACATAGGATGGAAGAAACTTAAATTGGAAGACTACTCAAAAGACATCAGGTTGCAACAGAATACGTTAGGCAATCGTGGACATTAAGAAACAAAATACAGATGTAATCGTAATATACAAAACTTTGCAATGAAACTTCAGCTGTATAAATGAGTGTTCTTTGGCAGTAAACTATTAAGAGGAACGGAGTTACCTAGCTGAGGTTTCAATGCAAAAGTTACTGTTGAGGAGGCTTAAATATTGATTGTTCCAGTCACTTACCAACTCATTCAGAACTGGAAGCAGTATAGAAGCTGTGGCAGTGTTGGAGGCAACTTCTGTTAGCATGGCAGTTGAGAAAGTTACAATCATCACGATGTACACACTGTGTAAACCATTTAAACCTTTTAGCGACTCTCCCATCCACTGGGATAAACCGGACACCTTAGCGCCCTCAGCCATGGCAAAGCCTCCGCCCAGCAGGAGGACCACGCCCCAAGGGATCTTCTCCTGCACAACTTTCCACGTCAGGCAGGAGTTGTTGTCCAAGCGCTTGGGCTCTGTGCAAGAATACCAAGTCCACATACTTTAGGCAGGTGCAATAAATTGGCATGAAACAAAAGAACATTGTTCATATATATATATATATATATATATAGTTGTCCATCATGAAAAATTTGCTGGACAAATCAATTAAGCATATTTTATTTGTTTATTTTATTTATTTCATTTATTTATATACAAGAAGGAACAATAGGATTGTGGGAGAACATAACACTGGTGTTCTTACATTCTTACAAAGCCACTAACACGCACAGCGTTTTCTGCTAGTCCTTAATCTACACAGATAAGTTTATTCAGATGTTCACTGTAGCAAAATTTGAGTTTAACATAATATATAGAGTACATATAAATTGATGGAAATTATTACACTCTTAAAGTTGCATGGATTAAGTACTAATATTTGGAGGAGTGGGTAGCACAAAACACAGTGCGAGTTTGAAGCACAAAGTAAGAAACTATGAGGATGAAATTAAATACTTTTTGGTTGTACTTTTGAATAAGGCATAGGTTGGACATTTATTGTAATTCATTAGGGAGTGAGTTCCATAGACTGGGTCCTTTTCTTTGCATGGAGTGTTTGCACAGATTTAGTTTGACTCTGAGGATATCAAAGATATTTATTTCTGGTGTGATGCTCATGGGTACTATTACATCTGTCAAGGAAGAGTTTCAGATCAGGATTAGCATTTAGGAACAAGGTTTCGATGCCATTTTTATGATGATCCATTACATAATCCTTTACATATGGATGCTATTTTCTCAGGAACTTGATAAAAAGTTTCTGAGAAACTTGTCATCAAGTTTCAAAACTTGATTATCAAGTTTGAAACAAAAACGTAACGGTCCAGGTAGTATAGCCGGGTTCGTTCTCGACTCACAATCGAGAATTCGGGATTCGAATCCCAGTGGGACAGAAATAGGTGAGCGTGTTAATTCCTATCACCTAATGCCCCTGTCCACCTAAAAGTAAATAGATACCCAAGAGTTAGTGAGCTTGTTGTGGAATTGCATCCCGGGGAGATCCTTGGAGGGAGAGGGAGGCCTCGATAAAAGCCTAACATGTACTCTACGTATATACAAACTGGCTGCCTGTCCCCCCACACAATAAATTATTAATCATTTCATTAAAAAGGCAGCAGGGGATTCAAAAGAAGTCATAAGCCAGTAAGACATACCATCTGGTTTGCTAAAGCACCAGAAGTTGAGGTTCGCAGGCAGAGCAAACAACAGGAAGACTATGAACATTGCAGGCGTTGCATCATCCACCTCCCTGCAACAGTATTTCAGTTCAATACATTTACCTGAATTTACCTGTGGGCCACTATCTAGTGGCCTCGACGAGAACAGGAAGCTGGCAGCTTGTCAAATGTCTCCAACCCCCATTTGTCCTATGATTTTATCAAGTAAACAAGAAAATAATATGAAAATATTTAACAAATTCCTTCTTCTAACTTGGAGTTCTACAGAAGTTACTCTTATGAGAGAATTTTTAATATATATAAAGCTTACCGTTCCTTCACTTCAGACTCAAGGTGGATCAACAAGACTAGATTATCACTAAAAAAGCAAATCGCACAGCAACAGCCCGACACACCAACAGCCTCACACAACAACAGCCTCACACAACAACAGCCCCACACAACAACAGCCCCACACAACAACAGCCTCACACAACAACAGCCCCACACAACAACAGCCTCACACAACAACAGCCCCACACAACAACAGCCTCACACAACAACAGCCCCACACAACAACAGCCCCACACAACAACAGCCTCACACAAAAAGTCTCACGCAGGAATAGCTTCACCTACCAACCACCCCACACATAAACAGCCCTACGTAACACCGCTCTTCCTATCAATAATAATAGGAGGTGTCATATTCACACCTAAACAGGTTAAACGGTCCAAGGTATCCTTTAGGTAAATTTAGGTAGTGCTGGAACATGCATTTATTGTGCAAATTTGAATTTTGTTAATTTCCGGGGAGAGCCTAGTCTGGAAATTTTTTTATTTGGCTTCCGGTAGTGTCATTGCCTCATAAGAGATTTTCGTGTGTAAAAAGATCAAAGTCCAGATGACACGGATGCAGGACTGTGACTTGATTGGCTAAGATTCACACCGGTATTTTACTTGAGGTTAATTGTCTCAAGAGAAACTGCGAGCTAGTTTATTGGCCTAGGGTCCTTTTCAGGGTTGCCGAACCTGGTACTTTCGTACAATATTTGGTACATTTTTTGCTACTTGGTACTTTTAAGTTCTAAGCGTTGATAATTTGGTAATTTTTCTATATAATTTTCCTAGTTTGATAAAAACTCAAGATATAAACTTTGAAATATTCGAATACAACAACAATAATCATTATTTATTAATTTCCCAATTCTCATTTATAAGTTTCATTACATAAGTGCCTGTGATACTTGTTGTGCTAATCTGTAGTGGTATTTGACAAGAACTTGTGTCAAAGTGTTATTGGCCTCGTTTGATGTCAACACTAGTGAGGGCAGTCACGCTGCTACACTGACCAGTCACCGGCGCACTTCCTTAAGAGGCGGTCGTTTCTTGTGAGGTGGTTATATTTGTGATAAAATAAGCCCCATTTCGCGAGCACATTGTTAATAGTAAGAGACCAGAATAGAGCGTTTTACAAATACCGTGAATGTGAAATAGAAGGGAGTACTACACATAAAAAGCACTCTAAAAGAGAAAACACATTAAAAATACGAATTTAGTACATCGACCTTCAAAACTGATCAAATATAGTTCTTATTTGTATGTTAAATTGCGTTAGGTTATATTGTATGTTAACCAGCAACGCTATTTCAAGTGATTTGATGGAAGAGGGAGTGTGGCTCAGGTCAAGTGAGGTGCCGGCTACCACGGTGATATTATGTCTACTGATATTGAGTGCTAAACTATGTTCTAGGGCCACTAATCCTCCAGTGCAAGAAGTTAGGGCGACAGCCGACCAGTTGTCACGATTTCCTTTCAGTGACAGTAGGTCAAGTTTACCTGCAGTGGGCATTTTATATGGTTTTTAGCCTCAAGGTTTAAGGAGTGCCACGAAATCATCGCTATACGTGGTTGCCAAGGATTGTAGTGGCGTTTATAGACCAGTGCATGAGTGAAGGAGGCGAAGACGGAAGACTTCAGAGTCAAGAGGAAGTCACACACTCGTGGTATTGCCAGGAAATCGGTAGGAGGGGCAGTGAGCAGCCATGTGACACCAGGAATTCCGCACCAGCTGGGGCCAGATTCACGAAGCAATTACGCAAGTACTTACGAACCTACACATCTTTTCTCAATCTTGACGGCTTTGGTTACATTTATTAAACAGTTTACAAGCATGAAAACTTCCCAATTTACTGTTGTTATTGTTATAAACAGCCTCCTAGTGCCCTAGTGCTTCCGAGCTCATTAACTGTTAAATAACTCTAAACAAATCCACGAAAGATTGAGAAAAGATGTACAGGTTCTTAAGTGCTTGCGTAACTGCTTCGTGAATCTGGCAACCAGTGGAAGTGACGCACACGACCAACAAGAACTCTCCGGACGGTCGCCAGGGCTGAAGTCCACTTAAATGGTACTTTAGATGGCTAAACAACTTCCCGTCTCCCCACTTGAGTTAATTCTACGGAATCAGGTGAGGATATTTTGTGTAACATTATTATTCGGCTATAAATATATTTATGCATTGTGGATGAAGGAAGAGTACTAGGAGTACTTGTGTATGCATTGAGGTATGTGGTGAGGCTAGGATACTAGGGAGAGACTATGACGTATACTGCTTTAGTTTACATTTATATTTGCACTAGTTATTATTATTGATCAAGACTGTACCAGTTATTATTATTGATCAAGACTGCACCAGTTATTATTATTGATCAAGACTGCACCAGTTATTATTATTGATCAAGATTGCACTAGTTATTATTATTGATCAAGACCACCAGTTATTATTATTGATCAAGACTGCACCAGTGTTATTATTATTGATAAAGAGACATTGATTATTTGCGCGAAGTGATTATTAATATTTGTTATAAATTTATTGTCCTCTGCGAACAAGAGTAAAGTGACGTAGTTCTGGTTTAATTCAGTTGCTGCCGCAGCCTAGTGAGTCTACAGTTTCAGGTCACTTATTTTAAGTTGAGACTATTTATATTATTGTCCCATCATTTGATTTCATTAAATGTATTTATGTAAGCAAAGTATGTCCGCACTCCTTTCTGCAATTTATGACATAAAACTGACTTACACTGCGTGAACATTATGGGAAAGATGGTATTAATGACTACAATGGTATTATGATGATGTTGGATTACGTTCGAAACAACAGCCCCAAACACCAAAAGCCCCGCACACTAGCATTCCCACACTAAATAGCCGAAGCTCAATCCCCACAAGTACAACTAGGCGAGTACACACTAACAATCCCACACACACTAACAATCCCACACACTAACAGCCCCCGCTAACAGACCCACACACCAGACCCACATAGCACCCGCAAAGTTTCTAATTAATATATTTTCTGAGAGAAGAGGAAATGGGGGTAGAGGGGGAGGAGAGGGAAAGTGGTGGGGGAGGGTGGGAACACGAACATGGGGACCATGTTGGTGGGGTAGGAGGGAGGAGGAAGGGGAGGATAAGAGACTCATACAGTTGTTTCAGTTCTTAATAATACATTTTCTGAGAGAATGGGGAAAATGGGGGGAGGGGGAGGACCAGGGGGATGATGGTAGAGGAGGGAAAAAGGGTGGGGACGGGGTCAAGAGGGAGTGGGAGAGGAGGTGGAAGAAGGGAGAGTATCCCAGGCACCACCTGGTACTCCTCCCCCCCCCCTTTCCCTAGATTACCTATACGAGAGAATGTCTGAATGATTGGCTTTCTGTCTATCCAAAATTGAAGGTCAGACGCCTGGGTTAGTGTAACTCAAATTAGTAGAGGGGAAGGGTCTGAGGTACGGGACAGACATAAGCTGGTCAGTGTAGGCCCAAGTTAACTTCTTTATGAAATATTTGCAATTATAAACACCCCACTGCCATTTTCAAGGAGTCAAGTGTGAAATATGGCGTGGTTAACATGAAATTGTTACTGAAAAGAAATGAAAAAGGAAGCGAGAAAGGAAAGCAAAGTATCTGAGACCTATTCATTCATTTCCGTGCTTTTTGAGGGTACTAGTAAATTTTAGTGCTTTTTGAGGGTAGCAGTAAAGAGGGGAAAGGAATTTTTGTTAACTTACACTCCAAAAGCATCTTCAAACCACTTTGCCCATCCAGGGATGAACTCTGGAGCCCTGAAGAGCCACAGCAGAACAAGAATGATGAAGAGGGTCAGCACTACAACCTCCTGGAAGGTGATGAGTCCCAGCTCGCGGTACTTGGCTAATATCAGCTGCTTCACCGCCTTCTGTCGCTCCTCTGATGGATTTTGGATCATTTTCTTCCTTTGGCCACTGAAAAATATTTTAATATGAAAATCTGGATTTTAAATTTTGATTAACATTATTAAATCTAGATGTGATTCCATAGTCAGTGAAAAGACGTTTAATAATTAACGTCTTGTAAATAATACATTCTCATAAAATAATACATTTTCATAAAATAAATAATACATTCTCATAAAATAAATAATACATTCTCATAAAATAATACATTTTCAAAATAATAAATAATTCTCATAAATGAACACAGCGCTGCTATACTGATATGTACAACAAGAAATAGGCATTTGAAGAGATTATTAAACAGTTCTAATTTGACTCTAGTGTGATTTACAAAAGAAAACATGATTATTCTGAATGGTTAATACTCAAATTCTGACATGACCCGTCCCCCTTTTATTACAAAAATAATCTAACTAGTTTGAATGGGAAGTTGTAAATGAGAGAGCAGAGAAAAGGAATGTCAAGCGAGACCTGATGACATGGTTACTTAGGTGTGCTTGGCACGTCCACTGGACTTGCAGAGACTGCATGTGGCAACACTGAGACAATCTTGCTTCAATAATGCATTTGAAAGTGTGATAATAAACCTTTTCCTGTCAGTAATGCTGCAAGACAACGTCTGAAAGAAATGTGAGAAGAGTCAGGGAATCCTAAGATTAATGTATTGGTTCTCAAATACACCCTAAGAATGCTCCCCTGTAGGATCCCTTCCTTCTAGTAATCAGAGGGAGAGAGAGACAACTCAGACAGTAAACACTTAGTTCGAAGGAAGTTTTCAAATAAAGTAATGGTATCCTTTCTCCGAGACCTCACTATCCTGGAGAAAGCGCAGGATCTAATGCTTCCACACAGTATCATCGGCCTTCACCAAGTTAAAGAAACTTGGAAGTGATGTTGTTTGGAGACATTCCTCACATGTTTAGGGTGCCAGTGGCGGAACGCATCTTCCGAAGACCACACTGGAATGGGAAAGAAACATGCCACGTTCTATATACCAGGCTAGTTGGTCACGTATCGTTTCAAGCAACTTTCATGTGCAAGAAGAGAGATGGGATGGAGGAGAATAGTATTAGAGAACACCATGATCAAGAGAAAGGGTCTCTAGCTCATTCTGAGACGATTGCAAAAGTATACAAGAAAATCTTCTTGAGATATCTGCTTGCACACATTGAAAAGTGTTTGCAAGGGAGATTTCTGTCTTGGAAGTCGAGGGAAATAAAGTGGAAAGGTCTCACAAGACATTATGGGCTTCAATAACAAGAAATGTTAAGAATTGATAAATTTGTTTCAGTCATAAGGCAGGACAGTGACAGTTATAGGACTAACCGATAGTTTAACCAAGCATTTAAAGAAGGAAAACGAATAAGCATGAGAGCATGGTTAGCTACATTAACAAAAGAACATAAGCGACCAGATTATGATACCAGAAGGACAGTAATGAACACCCGAGTGAGAAGAGAACCCGAAATGCAATTTGAAAAAGACATTTCAGAAAGCCGCAATTAGAGGAAAGGAACAGTTAAGAAACAGGTGATCAAAATGTAACATCCATTTATGAGAATGACAATAAAGTGTGTGACGAATTCAATAAGAGTTTCCATGAAATTTGACTGTAGTACAAAGAAAAGTTCCTGAACGGAGGGGAATGGAATCACACCAAGCGGCACTAGAGGACTTCAAGATAACCAGAGATAAATTACGAAGGCACTTGCTGGAGCTGGACATGGCTAAGGAAGCTGGACCACATGGAATCTCAGAGTAAAATAAAAGAAAACGGAAGTCTGATGTTAGCCACGTAATATGATATATAACAAATTACTGAAGACGGGAGAACTTCCCGGGACAGTTACTGTATTGTCAATATATAAAAAGGGAGACAGACTGGAGGCACTGGAGGCTGGTATTCTTACCTGAAGATGATTCAAGGTGATGTAAAAAACAACAAGAGGCAAGTAAAACCTCTGGAGGGAAGTTCCTTCATAGCAACATCAGTCATGATCATCAAACACAAAATTATAACGGGAATAGAAAGAGCAGACAAGCACAGAATATTTAGCACGGGTGGTACTGGAAGAAGGGGACACAGGTGGAAACTAAGTACTCAAATAAGTCACGTACGTATTAGTATTAATTTTGTCGGGATAGGAAACAAATTGAATACACTAAGAACAGAATGGGTGGAGAAAGACTATACACAGCTACAACTGTAGATATGACAGAGCCAAAGAGGCTGTGAAACTTGTACACCAGTCGGTTAAGGGATAAGATGCGTAACCAAAGCGTCGTAGCCCCTGCAGGTACAACTGGGGGAGGTAAGGTTTAGGTCCCCTAGTTACCTTAACCTTACCTAGGAGGTAAGGTTAAGGTCTCCTGACTTTCAGGTCAGGAGAAAGTGCCGTGCCATTACATCTATATAGATCTTGGAAGGGGATGAGGATAATGATTTGGGATGGGACGGGGAAAAAATGGGGGCCCTAACCACTTGGACAGTCGGGGATTGAACGTCGACGCGCAAGAAGCGAGGCTTTTGTTCTATCGTCTAGTATAGGGGGAGTACAACTAGATAAATACAAGCATACAGACTCCAGAGCACATAGCAATGGAATCACATCAGTTACACAAGATCAGTTGCACAAGCAAGTATGTCATACATCAGAGTAGTTTTCAGAAATCTAAAAAAAAAGCTATTTACTGCACTGCACACAACCTATGGGAGATGTAGGTGGTAATTGGTGGAGATGGATCCTCCATAAGCCTCTATTTAAACCAGTATAGGACATATATTGATAAAGTTCAAATATATGCCACAAGATTGGTCACATAATAGAGAGGATTGGAGTACGAGGATATACTGAGGGATCATCATCTTACAACATTAGAGACGAGAAATGGGAGATATGATTACGACATATAAGATCGTAAGAAATACTAACGAAGTAAATAAGGACAATATGTTTAGTAGGTGCAACATCAGAACGCGAGGCCATAGCTGGAAGTTTAAAGATGGAGAAAAATAACCAAAGGGATGTAACTTAATATTTAATTAACCAAAGAGTAGTAAGTAAATGGGATGGACTTGTAGACACGAGGCTGCTGACCCAGAGGACCAAATATCAGAGGGTCAGCGATGCCAATAATAGTCCTTAATTACTATAAAACAAGAAGAATATTAATGTTAGACTTACCACAACATTCCTGAGAAGTAGAGCTGCAGCCACAGCCAGGCCAAGACCACACAGATCAACATGCCGGGAACGTTGAACAACATCCACGAGAGAAAGTTAAGACCCGTTGGTTCGCTGTACGAGCTGTTGGAGGCAGTGATAAGAGTTACAGGTCAAGGGTCATACCATGGCAATTGAATTCAATTTCTTTATTATGCACCCCATACCCATCCCGTGGGCGGTGGTGGAAAGGGCTACAGAGGCACATAATCAGTTCAAGAACTGAACCCCCTTTTAAAACTTTAGAACCTCCTGTGCTGAACTTTTAAATCAAATAACAATCTCTTAACGATACTTATACAATTATTAATGTTTATATATATATATATATATATATATATATATATATATATATATATATATATATATATATATATATATATGTCGTACGACATATATATATATATATATATATGTCGTACCTAGTAGCCAGAACGCACTTCTCAGCGTACTATGCAAGCCCCGATTTGCCTAATAAGCCAAGTTTTCATGAATTAATTGTTTTTCGACTACCTAACCTAACCTAACTTTTTCGGCTACCTAACCTAACCTATAAAGATAGGTTAGGTTAGGTTAGGTAGGGTTGGTTAGGTTCGGTCATATATCTACGTTAATTTTAACTCCAATAAAAAAAATTGACCTCATACATAATAAAAAAGGTAGCTTTATCATTTCATAAGAAAAAAATTAGAGAAAATATATTAATTCAGGAAAACTTGGCTTATTAGGCAAATTTGGCCTTGCATAGTAGGCTCAGAAGTGCGTTCTGGCTACTAGGTACGACATATATATATATATATATATATATATATATATATATATATATATATATATATATATATATATATATATATATATATATATATAACACATATATATATATATATATATATATATATATATATGTTATATATATATATATATAACATATATATATATATATATATATATATATATATATATTATATATATATATATAACATATATATATATATATATATATATATATATATATATATATATATATATATATATATATATATATATATATATATACACACAATCATTTACACCATGGCACAAGTATTTACGTCATTAAATAACTTTGATGAGTAATTTTTTATCCCTTAAATTGCTTCTCTAAATCATATTAAAGAGCTAATGCGATGTTTAAATCTACAAGAACTTTGTTTACGATGTTAAGATAGGCGATAACTTTGTTTCAGAAATAGTTTTGAAAACTTTACAGTTTGACTAGAGACAAGGGATTGTATGTAGCATGCACTGAGGAACAAGCAAAGGTGTATTTTTCAGTGCAGAGGAAGGCTTAGTTGCATGCATGCATGATAATAAGCAAATTTAATCTTTGAAGCATTAGTTCAATACTGCCCATAATCTGACCTTTCACAATAACTGAATCACGTGTTTTGTGATTATTCTTGCAATATACATTACACACACACACACACACACACACACACACACACACACACACACACACACACACACACACACACACACACACACACACACAGTTGAGTGCTCAACCCCCGCAAGCACAACTAGGAGAGTACAACTAGATGAGAAAGAATTACTGTATTACTCAATAAATGTTTATATGTTGAGTACACCCACACTTACACACACACACGAGAAGATAACAATTAGCCGGCATATTTTATTTGTTATTATTTGTTTAAATACTAGGGGGAGGGGGGGTACCAGGAGTTACCCAGGTCAGTCTGTCTCATCTGTCTATCTTCACTTATCGTAATTATCTTCTTATCTATTTCCCTAGCTCTCCATCTCCCCCTTTTTCGTCCTGCCACTTTCCCCCTCCTGCTTACCCCCCCCCCCCCTCAAGAAGCACTGAAATAAATGTCTCAAATGCTTTGCTTTTATTTCACTTTTCGTTGTTCATTTTTTCTTTCCAGTGACACATCCATGGCAATCACCTGCCATATGTTGCACTTGACTTCATTGAAATGACATAAGGGTCTTTATAATTTATAACAATTCTTAAAGCATTTTATTTAGACCTACCCCTGATAAGCCTATGTCCGTTCCGTACGACAGACCATTCCTCCCTGCATATCTGGGTGAGGCTAGCACCAAGGGTCTAGCCTCGAACTTTGGACAGACAAACATTCTCTCTCTCAGTGTATAAATATATACCCCTAAGCTATTACAATTCCCAAGCTAGCAAGACGTTTCTCCTGTCAATAATAACTTACTCCTGCAACAATCCCTTAAGAACCATGTTAGTGCCACTGCCTGTAATGATGCCAGTGCCACCGAGGTCTGCAGCATACATCACTGACATCAAGAGCACCACCTTAGTATCCTTGTAGAGTGTGTCCGCCTCAGTCGCGTCTGGTCCATGGGCACTGCTCGCTCGTCTGGCACTACTGACAGGAAAAGGCACTCTAGTCATGGTCGCTTTACCGTCCAGTTCCTCCTCAGGAATCGTATGAGCACGTTGGTGCCAAGCAGTCTCGTCTTCCTTGTCCTCACTAAGTCTTCCAGTGAAAGTAAACAGTAGTAACATGCTTTATTATAATGCAATAGTTTGAGCCCTTTAATATAGGTTGTTATCATGCAGGTGCGTCTTAAGCATAGTCTTTCATAAACCCAAGCCCGCAGAGCTCTCAAATAGTCTTCAAATCTGCGGTGAAGAAATTAAAAAGATATTAGTACAGACGTAAACAGTTTTGGTGTCTGTAGTATATCTCATATTTGGTCATGCGATAGTAGAGAATGATCCAAAATCACCGCCACCAGTGCACCTGTGAAGCAATTAACCTCTGGAAACACCTCCACCAGTGCACCTGTGAAGCAATTAACCTCTGGAAACACCTCCACCAGTGCACCTGTGAAGCAATTAACCTCTGGAAACACCTCCACCAGTGCACCTGTGAAGCAATTAACCTCTGGAAACACCTCCACCAGTGCACCTGTGAAGCAATCAACCTCTGGAAACACCGCCACCAGTGCACCTGTGAAGCAATCAACCTCTGGAAACACCTCCACCAGTGCACCTGTGAAGCAATCAACCTCTGGAAACCGCCGAAGCAAAATTTGCAGTTAATTTGAAAACATATCGCTGTTTTCTTACCAAGACTTACTTGATTAATTTCATTCTTAGGATATCCCAAAAGAACTTTCCTGCAAGATAATACCAGCAAAGCTTCCCATGAACATGCAGCAGGCTAAAGAAGCCTTCATGCAGCAACTGTGCTTGATGTTGCTGTGTTGCGTTCAGCAACGTCAAGTCCACTTAGAGAAGAATGAGCAGTGTAGCAGCCTCTAGCTATCCGCAGTCTTACAGCCAAGATGTAGGAGATCCCCAATGTGAAATTATCCGATTAATTATTCTTAATCCAATATTTAAATGAAGTTGCTTCAAAAAATGTTAACAATAGAAGTGAAAAGTTGCGAAAAGTATATTTTTAATAACCGGAACTTTTCTCATTGGCCACGAGTGGTGTAGTGATTGGAGTTTATATGTTGAAGCAAATGTCAATAACCTGGCAAGGACGCCCTTTATGACCAGGTTGGGCCCGGTGCCTGTGAGGGAGCCAGTGCCACCCAGGTTGGCAGAGTAGGCGGTAGCCAAGAAGCACATGTCCCTGAGGGCGCGACACGACTCGTTGGGAGGTAAGGTGGTCAGGCCAGTGTTGTCCGCGTCCTTAGACGTCATATCCACCTTCTTCACACTCACTTGCTCCAAGTTGCCATTCTTGCACTCGCTGTCAAGATGAACACTTTCAGAACATTATCAACGATTAGTTTGTTAGCCCGAATCACTCCATCTGCCTCGGTGAATCTAAACTACTTTCTGTAACTGGACAAAACATGTAACAAGATAAATGTGCAATAATTATAAAGACTGTTGCAATTAAATAAAGTCTTGTTACCAAATTGAACAAAATCAATAATTTGGGGGCTTTTGGTATACACATATTGACACCACTGTTGAAGTGAACAAGCGCTGACCTAGAAATAAAGGCATGAATGATTACCTAACCAAAATTACTAAATTATTTCTTGTCAATGAAACATCCTGGAATTTCGAGTGGTTGTAGCACTGCTCCTCTGATGGCGTGTGACGCGTCAACAAAACAAGTGAATACAGTCACGTGGAGCGTCAGTTCCGTCTGCATGTTGGAAGGAAAATAACAGCTGAACCAACCTGTCCTATGACAAATTTCGTCTGAATTTGGCAGTTTGCCCGTACGACCGAAAATGGACATAATTTAAAAATGAAAAATAATTGAAAATAAATTTTGCATTTCTTTTTCTTCTCCACAACAGCAAGTTAAGGGTCCTCTGATAGGTTAGGAGGGCAAGAAATGCTTCTTAAGTTTCAAAACGTCACGAAAACCGTTAACTGAAAGTTTTCTCTCCTAACCTTTCCGAGTAAGCCGGAAGACTCAAACAGAAAACGGGACAGTACGTCACTTTCGTGAGCCGATTTCATTTCAAATTACATTTATTTTTGGCCATAGCGCGCATACGAGCGAAAAGCAACGTTATTTTAAGAGGACGAGTTGGTTGCTAACCTATAGAATACAGTGAATCATCGTCGACCGTGATCAAGTGCTCAGTTTACTTTGTGGGTTACAAGCTTGACTGGCTGGGAAAGTCATCTGACCTACACAACATATTCTTGTACACATTTAAACTTCTATATTAAATGCAGACGAGGAGTCACAATATCGTGGCTGAAATATGTTGACCAAACCACACACTAGAAAGTGAAGGGACGACGACGTTTCGGTCCGCCCAGGACCATTCTCAAGTCGATCTTCTATATTAAATGTTGATAATATTAGAATCTAAAAGCTAAAAATAAGAACAGCCATGCTAGGAAGATAACGTAACATAAAACACAACGCTTCCCAGTGCTGTTTCTTGTGAGCATCCCAAACATCTCCTCAGAGTTGTGATAGAAAGACCCACTTTTAAAATATATATACCGTAGTGAAACAGGTCTACTGCTTTGTGCTGTTGCTCTTCGATGACAACTGAAACTAGATTTCAAAGGATAAACCTTTCCACAGCTATCCTTTAGGCAACCTAGTAAAGCCGTGTCTTGACATGTAATATGAACACTATATGAACCCCAGAGCGCTGCTGCACATCAAAATATACACACATTAATGAATTAATAAACACAAAGAAAAGCCCTTCCCAACTAGTGAGAAGACCTCTATACTATACGATAAATATTTACATACCGAAACCCATACAAAAAGTTGACATAGCTAATATCAAAAGGTACACACAAAAATCACAATAGCGTGATGCATCAAATGAACCAATCCACAAAGGCCGTGACGAGGATTCGAACCTGCGTCCGGGAGCATCCCAGACGCTGCCTTAATTAACTGAGCTACGACAAAAATCGTAGTCGACTGTCGTAGCTCAGTTGATTAAGGCAGCGTCTGGGATGCTCCCGGACGCAGGTTCGAATCCTCGCCACGGCCCTTGTTGATTTGTTCATCAGAAGGTAGTCACCTCCGAAACATTTTATAATTTAAACATTTCAATATATAACCCTTACCTGGGGTCCCGCTTTTGGACAGAAGGAGCCAGCTCCATCTGGCTCTGGTGAGGAGGATACACGCTGAGGTCCATGAATTCTTTATCAGTCTCGTCTTCATCACTCTGTCCCTGTAAACAGAAAGACGGGCGTGTACTCACCTAGTTGTGCTTGCGGGGGTTGAGCTTTGGCTCTTTGGTCCCGCCTCTCAACTGTCAATCAACAGGTGTACAGGTTCATGAGCCTACTGGGCTCTATCATATCTACACTTGAAACTGTGTATGGAGTCAGCCTCAGTCGTGTGTGTGTGGCCTGAGGCTGACTGGGGTGAGGTCATAGGTTGAGCACACACTGACGACACCTGTAACGGTGAAGCTATAGAACACAACGGTAAGCTAAGTGAGATAACAGTGAGACCAGAGATAACAACAGTGAGATACCATAACAGTGAGGTCAGAGATAACACCAGTGAGGTCAGAGATAACACCAGTGAGGTCAGAGATAACACCAGTGAGGTCAGAGATAACACAACAGTGAGATAACAACAGTGAGGGCAGAGATAACAATGAGGTCAGAGAGATAACACAACAGTGAAGTCAGAGATAACACAACAGTGAGGTCAGAGATAACACAACAGTCAGAGATAACACAACAGTGAGGTCAGAGATAACACAACAGTCAGAGATAACACAACAGTGAGATAATATAACAATGAGGCCATAGATAACACAACAGTAAGCTCAGAGTGATAACACAACAGTGAGATAACATAACAGTGAGGCCATAGATAACACAACAGTGAGCTCAGAGAGATAACATAACAGTGAGGCCAGAGATAACAGTGAGGTCAGAGGGATAACACAACAGTGAGGTCAGATGGATAACACAACAGTGAGGCCAGAGATAACAGTGAGGTCAGAGTGATAACACAACAGTAAGACCAGAAAGATAACACAACAATGAGGCTCTCAGTAAATTTTGTAGAGTTAAAATTTACTGAGAGCCAGAGAAGAGACCAGACAATGTATTAATAATTACTGCGTAACAGTGGAAGAACTAACTTTAAGACTAACAAGCAATAATACACATAACAGCTATCTTGTCGGGGTCGTGTATCATAAACACAGCTGACCACTGAAGATGTAAACAAACACTAGAGTTAATTCTCAGTGTAAATACGCAGTTTGGATTTGTCATTGACTAAAGTATACTTGAGAGATGGAATCGAGGTCAATTATTTCCCCTAATGTCCTTGGCAGTCAGCAAGGTCATATGTTTTAATCATTAGCAGGTATATTGATCATTAAGACCATCATAAGACCTTCAAGTTACCTTGAAGTAACTTTAAGGTAAGCTGATCAACTTGACGCTCCTAGGCCGTGGTAAACCCAAGCAGTTTACCAAACCCTATAAAAGATTCCTCCAGTTTACGTGGCGAAAATATAGTTGTGAGATAAGCTGGAAAAAATATTAAAAAAAAAATAAGTAAAATCCCAAGGGGTAAGTCTTATGGAATAAGAGAGAATAATGGAAGAATATTATTAAGAATATTTTGGAAGAATATTGTCCATAATATTATGGAAGAATATGGACAAATATTTTCCATAATATTATGGAAGAATGTTGTCCATAATATTATGGAAGAATATTTTCCATAATATTATGGAAGAATATTGTCCATAATATTATGGAAGAATATTGTCCATAATATTATGGAAGAATATTGTCCATAATATTATGGAAGAATATTGTCCATAATATTATGGAAGAATATTGTCAATAATATTATGGAAGAATATTGAACATAATATTATGGAAGAATATTATGGAAGAATATTGTCAATATTATGGAAGAATATTGTCCATAATATTATGGAAGAATATTGTCCATAATATTATGGAAGAATATTGTCAATAATATTATGGAAGAATATTGAACATAATATTATGGAAGAATATTGTCAATATTATGGAAGAATATTGTCAATATTATGGAAGAATATTGTCCATAATATTATGGAAGAATATTGTCCATAATATTATGGAAGAATATTGTCCATAATATTATGGAAGAATATTGAACATAATATTATGGACAATATTAACGGGTGGAGGGAGGAGACGAAGTGTCGTGACAGCTGTCAAAAGGTCAATAATAACCTGTGATGTTATGACAACAATGTATTTACAATTAAGGGATCGGTTAGATAACCATTACTGAATGAGGCGATATTCTTGGAATCGGTTCAGGTGACACATTACAAAAGTGAAGTTAATCTCAAATTAACAGTACAGAAATTGCTGAATGGCAGGCCGGAACTACACTACAATAATAATAATAATAATAATAATAATTTTATTTAGGAAGATGACGCAAAACAATAAACACTACACTGAGATGACGCAACACTACACTAAGATGACGCAACACTACACTAAGATGACGCAACACTACACTGAGATGACGCAACACAATAAACACTACACTGAGATGACGCAACAACATATACGCAACACCCGGGTGATGCAGCACAATGTACATTACGCTGTGATGATGCATGACAATAACAAAATCTGCACATATCTATTAGAGAAAAATGTAGTCCACAGAGGGAGGGGAGCACATCCTAGGCTGCTGGGAGCTGGGCGCCAACTGACGAGGACATTATGTTGATGACAACAAACAAGTGTGTGATGAATATGATCAACAGCTCGTATATGCTTCTCGTTGTTGGCAACTGCAAGAAACTTTTGCAAGAACATTCTGCAGCGTAAATTTGCAGCTGACAATATTTCCTTGTTCTGCGCTCTCTTAAATCATATACACTGATGGTTCCCTACACCGCCCCACGGGTGCAGCTGGAAGTGCAGTTGTCCTGACAATGGCCGATGGCTTATATTTTGAGTGGGAAGTCCGTATAAACAACTGGGCCTCTGCCCTTCAGACCGAACTATTTGCGGTAGCTCAAAGAGTTGGCATACAAGACACAATAAAGAGAATGGCATCGCCAAGAGAAGCCGCAGACAGGAACTTGATTTCTTCATGCCCAAAACTCCTGCATTCGCTTGGGATCGCAATACTGTATATCCATAGAAGAAAGGTGGACAGCTGTTGTGAGACTTCACGGGAATCCTGCCCTGGCTGATACAGTTATCTCCTTCCAAATTGGCCAATTATGTGTTGCAGCTAACCACAGGAAAGAAGTCATATACAACAAGTGTAGGCAACTGGGTCATTGGGACACATTTTTATCCCATGCCATCTGACACCCTCTTCCGATGGATCGTGTCATATGGACTTCCTCAAAGAATTGGTTTTAGCCTCATTGACACTACCAAAGACCCAAGGGCTACCAGTTTCCTGTTCAGCGCCTCAGTGTTTCGAGCCAGAGGCAAAACGTGTGCCGTGTCGCCGGCTCCTGCCCGGAATCTGAGACGATCCAGGAGATTCTTAACCTTTGACCATTTAATGTAATCAGCAACATGTAGCTTTTCAAACTGTAAAAAATATATATGTAAAAAAATACACTTTGTTAAAAGATATAACAAACTTTACAAAAAAAAAGCTAGAAAAGCCGGGGTAGGGAAAAAGGTACAGTGTATAAAGTTGGTGTAAATAATAACTGAAAGAGAACTTCCAACTATGAGTAACACAGCTGACAAAAGACAGACTTTACAGCTAAGAATTTTATTAATAGAATGACAGAAACAATGATCATTGATGACCAAACCACAACTCACAAGTTGCAGAAGCAACGACGTTTCGGTCCGTCTTGGACCATTATCAAGTCGTGTATCAAGACACGACTTGATAATGGTCCAGGATGGACCGAAACATTGCTTCTCCATCTTCCGTGCCGTGGTCTGATCATTATTTCTTCAGCAACGTTATTGTGACTAATCGTCTGAAAACAATGATCACTGTCTACATGACATAAGCAAAGTTCACTGTTTCCCGAGTACACGAAAAAGCACAAGGTAAACTGCTTCCATTAACAAAGCAGCTGTTTGTAAGTTTAAGAAGCTAGCTTTTGTGGGCAAAGTAATTCACCAACGAGATATAAAGAGCTGAAAGTAAAAATGCAAACAGACTAACTATATTCAGCTGTGCCAGAATGGTCATCATCAGACAACTGTGGTAACAGACTTACCGCATACAACTCCACCAAGATGGCGTCCACTATGGGCACCATCATGGCTGTGGTGGCTGTGTTGGAAATCCACATGGATAAGAACATTGTTGTCAACATGAACCCCGCCATCAGCCTGCGTGGTGATTGACCTGAAATGTCATCCAAAGATTTTTCAATAAGTCAAGCCCAACCTACAGAGTAATCCTTCATATTTTACACCACGCCAGTATCCTTTTGGTTATAAATAAGAGCTTTACGTTCCTCCACAGTTCCTAGCCTCTTGTGTAGTTAGGAAACAGCTTGTGGATGTGTGGCAGTACTCATCAGTGACGGGGTTTCATGTCCTGGTCAGTTTACAACGTGAGCCAATTTGAAAACTGGGAAGTGATTTTTGATGAGTCACTTGAGAACTGAATTATGAAGACTATTCTATCCTATTGGAATTACCTATCCTATCGATTAAGAATATGTTCGGTAATGGCTTATGTGTGCTATTTAGATTTAGGCTCATTTTGTGATGTATTACATAGATACAAAAAGAACACGGGAGGGGGGGGGGGTAGAAATAGCCTAAGCTACTCAATCCTTTTGAGATGTATTTTACTGTCTCAATAAACGTACTTGAACAAAAAGAACAACTACATCTGTTATTATTATATTATGTCATTGGGGCCATAATATAATAATAACCTGCTGACCTAGGGGGGGAGGGGAACCAACTGCTTGGGTAACAGCTTCTCCATGCCAACCTACCCTGGCTTTGCGCCCTGGAGAGGCTACTCCTAACCGCCAACCAGAGCGCAGCTCTATATTCTCCTGAGACTGATGGATGCTTACTACTATGTCCGATACATTATCCTAATTTATCTATATTTATAAAATTTAATGTCAGTGTCTGTCCGAGGTTTAAACCAGACACTTGGAGCTAGCCTCACCCAGCTTTGCATTGAGGTTGCTCTGAGGTACGTGCTTAACATGAACTAGGTTGAGTGTTTTAAGGAGTTTCATTATTGCCGGCGGAGGCGGCTAGTTTAGTGTGTTCCCCTGTGAGCTGTAGCACAAAAAAAAAGGATTACAGTGGGTACAAAAAAATCTGTTTTAGGGCTATGGTGAACTTCAGACTTCAGACAATTTTGACGCAGTGCTTGGATTTAGATGTCGAAATTATCGTTCAGGATCAGGGGCTTGCATCTTGGCAGCAAAATTATTTGCCATTAGGCTAGCTTTCTCTTGATTGTTGGTTGCAAGAGTTTCATCCCTCTGGTTAAGAGGCGGGATTGTGTCCTCAAATGAGTACACCTGCTGACCTTTAACTAGCGACCGCCATTCTTTGGGTCCTACTCTTCTGGATGCAAATTTTATTTTTGAGTTTCTGATTCCCATCTGGGTATAGATTTTGAGCCTCTTTCAATATAAGACAAGATCGCCTGTGAATGTTCCTGATGTGACACTTTTAGATCTCCTCCAGACCTTGTTTATAGCTTCGCCTGCCACCCGGCCACCACAACCAAACCATAGTTGATCAGGAGGCTTGGTCACGTACTTCAAGCTAGGAATGTACCTGTGCTGGAGATCCAGTATATGCAACTGGTGAAGGCGTTTGTTTGGCTTCACACTTGCATAGAACAGGGGAGGGGATGTGAATTCTATTTATCTGTTTCTAGGTCAAAAAGGAGGCCTGACCAGCTTTCCCTTTGCCCCAAAGTCAGATTGTGCGAGTTGATTCTTCACTTCGACATGTTGGGATAGCCAGTGTAATAAAGACAGAATGGTGGTCTGATGAACCACCATATCACAGGGGTCTGCAGTGAACTGTACTTGCATGTAGGTCAGTTACAACAAGATCGAGATGAGACTGAAATATGTCTCCAAATCTTCGCAAAATTTTCGAGTTGAAAGCTGCTAAGAGTTTATCAAAATCTCTCTGTGTGAGATGCTGGTTGAGGTCACCCACAATTATAATATGCTGGCAGTTATGGTGCATTCAGGAAACACACTGCCACTGAGGTCTGTACATCGTGCATAAAAAATAATGAGGTTCTGGGATTTATGCAAATATTGAAGAACAATTTACAGAACAACAGGGATGACCGCATGAACAGGTTGGGCGTACACAAATTTATCGAAGCAAACTGCAGTTTCCCCAACTTTGACCCTACCTGTCTCGGCGCATCCATGAAATGTAACCGGCAGTCTTGGCAAAGTTCTCAACAGTCCTGTCATCTAGAAATGTTTCCTGCACAACAGTGTCATCAGGGCGACGAGAGTTCACGAAGCTGTGTGAGAGGCCGCCAACATTATGAAGCCCCTGATACTGGTAGACTTTACGCTAATGGATCGGTACCTCATGTTTGCATGTTGTTAGATAAGGCAGATGTGTGTGTGTGTGCGGTGGCTGCCCTCGTAGCTAGCTCGCTAGTGGTGTGTAAATTTGCTGTGCTGAGTAAGACTAGGGTTCATAAGGAATGTCAAGTAACGTAAACTGCAGTGAAACTGCAAGCGAGAGCTGTTATCCTACCTCAGCTCATCTGAAGCCTGCTCCTAGAAACTCGTTTATTTCATGAGAATGTACTTTAAATCTATCACAAAGGGAACTATCATATAAGGAACCTGGTGAAACTGCAAGCAAGAGCTGTGATCCTGCCTCAGCTATGTTGAAACCTACTCCTAGCGGACTATTTTTATTTTCTGAGCTTGTTATATGAATCAATAGGAATATCCTTTATTCATTAACAACATTTATTAACAATCATATAAGGAACAGGAGGAGTCCGAGCCTGTAGTTAGCCCCCCCCCCTCTCTCTCTCTCTCTCTCTCTCTCTAGAGAGAGAGAGAGAGAGAGGCTCTCTTTATTTTGTTTCAACTTTTTATCTCGAATCTTTCAAGATTCGTCTATAGAGATAACTTTTGAACAATATCTGTGATCTTGAGCAGACAACCTTGCCTTAGGTTAGGCCTACTATAGAGAAAAATTATCGAGAGCAATGTTCTTTTTGGGGGGCGACGGAAAAGATATTACAACTATCAATACAATCCATCTTGTGCTAAAATCGGGTCTTGATTAACGCTGCCATACACCTGCTATCCTAACCTCAGCACCCAAGCTAATGGACACGTCGTGAACGTCTAGTCTGGCCCTAAGCCTTTACGGCTGCCCTGGTTAATCAATTCACCCCAGCAGGAGGATAACTCTTAGCTGGCCCCGAGCCTTTACGGCTGCCCTGGCTAATCAACTCACCCAGCAGGAGGATGACTCTTAGCGCGATTCGTCTGTGCAGATTACAGTGCTCGACGGCGATGGCGACTGTGAGGCCGCCCAGGAACATCATGTTGGTCTCCTTCATGTAGACGATGCAGATGTCGCCGGTGGAGATGACACCAAGCAGGGGGAAGGCGAAGACGGGGATGAGAGCGGTGATGGCCAGCGGCAAGGCCTCCGTCATCCAGTACACCGCCATTATCACAATGACGTACCCGCATCTCGCCGCCTGCAACACACCACTCCTCGGGTTAATAACGTCATGGTTGTTGTTGTTATAGATTCAGCTACTCGAAACAAGTTCCAAGTAGCACGGGCTATGGTGAGCCCGTAACTTACCTGGCACAGGAGCGGGACAATTAGCATGAGCTATGGTGAGCCCGTAGTGGACTTACCTGGCACAGGAGCTGTGCTGTGACAACGTCATGGTAAAACCGCACTGCCAGCATGTGATTATTCTGTTTCACTGTCACAATCGTTAGCATTAAACGATTGTTATTAAACTTCAATTGGCATCCTTATCAACGTCAAACATCACCCTGAATCTTTAATAAATTATCCTGAATATTGTTAGATAAAGTGTAAACTAGTGTACAAAGACTAGTAGTTATTGACTACTAGTAATTGTTAAATTAGTGAAGCAATTATCTTCAGTTCAGTCGTGAAAATCTAGATTTTTGCTGGTTAGTGACTAGTGATGACTAAACTACACAGCAGGTGAGGAGACGACGACGTTTTGGTCCGTTATGGACCGAAAGGAGATTGTGACTTGAGTCGACTTGATAATGGTCCAGGACGGACCGAATCATCGTCATCTCATCTTCTGGTGTGTTGGTTTGGTCTTCATATCTTCATCTACATTATTGTAACTCATCGTCTGCACTTAGTGAACAATATTCAGAATATAATGTACACTTTTTACCATATAATTATGATGTATATTAATGCTAATGATTAACGTTAATAATATTGACTGAAAATGATGATTATGATCGCTTATCAGTGACTGATTTTCAGATATCATTAATCATAAAAATGATCAGTAATCATTGCATCAACAAAGCATCACTCATCACAACTGCTGGACAAGCTGCTTGTGACGAAGAAGAAGAAGACGTTATGAGACAAAAAAGATAAGGAAAGAAATATGCTACTTGAAGAAGGAGCGTGTACCCTCTCTAGAGTACACGCTCTTGCCACACACACTATTATTTAAGGCGGGTCAAATAACTGACTTATATGGCATGCACAGTGTTCTCAACCCGCATGTCCCCTCTTTACCGGCTCAACTGTTGAATTTAGCCGGTACTTGAGCTCACAGAAGCGCATGAATCATGTTCCCTACGTGTAAAATATCACCAGCACTGACATTATAAAGTAGTGAGTCGCGGTAAAATGCCTCCGATGGCGAGTGGGAGTACAATACATTCGTTAAAATATACAGATAAAGTGCCTATTATACTTGTCTCTTCAGTAAACTCAATCCATATATATCAGATTGGGTGGGTGTGTCACCTGTAAGGGGTGAAGGGGGGGCGTCCTCTGAAGCGGGTGGATGTGCAGGGTGTAGGTTAGGTTAGGATAGAGGTGGTGGTTCCCTGAGCAGGGGAGCACTGCGTGCCGAGGGGTTCAGGTGGAGTGGATCATGGGTGCTAGGTGAAGGGGGAGGATATCATGGGTGCTAGGTGAAGTTAATCAACATATAAACAAAATGTTTAAATAATGCTTTCGCATGGTAACCAAACATCACAAACATCCCATGTGAACCATATACCTGTGCAAACATCACCTCAATAGAAGTAATAGTAATAATCAAGCGGGGGAGAGATAATTAATTGAGGGATAGACTCGTCTCCTTGACAAAGAAAGTTGAGTAACGTGTCTGGCACCCATGTTATTTAGGTCACGGTGGCACAGTTGGAGCTCCTCCCTCCCTCCCTCTCTCCCTCCCTCTCTTCCCACACTAGTGCCCTCAACGTGCCTGAATACCCCGTGTAATGCCACCGGGCACAGGGGCAGGAGATCGCTGGCTCCTGAGGCAACTATACTTCAGCAGGCACCCCATCAAGATCTGTACAAATAAATGATCACTGCTTGCTCCGCTTTGGAATTGATCCTAATTTGGTCAATTATATTCAGCGCCACACATCTCCCCGTCACAGCTCAGTTTATACAAGTACAAACTAATTAAATATATGTAATGCAAAATCTGGTACACGAGCCCACCTGTGACGGTGGAGCCGTGGCCGCCTGCACCTGCCAGCCTAAACTACTGATATTTACACTGCAACAAAAAATGCTCGAGCTGACCAATATTAAGTGAAAGTTAATTCCTCCCGTGAAGTGTGTGAGGAGCTTGGTGATTGAGGTATGCTGGCGTGCACTACTGAGGGCCCAACCCCCCTCCTCACCACCACCACCACCATTACAATGGTATACACACACATACACAACCAGCAAGCTATCACCACACATACACCCACTCTTATCAACACCTGCAACACTGTCACCTACACAACCACTACTAACACCAGTCCCACTTCCATAACCATCACTGGAAGACTAGGTATATGGATGACTCTATGGGGCCCTGTGAGAATATAATATCTCCCAGATACTTTTCAGAATACTTTACAGGAATCTCTGCCTACTAATTTTAATTTTTGGATGTCAATAAGGCGATTCCTGTGAATTAAAGGGAACCACAGCACATTTGACAGGATTTAACGTTAGGTTGTGTTCTGCACTATATCTTTCACATATTCTTATCGAAGTTTCCGTAGCTTCTTTAGTCGGTGCGAGTAGAATAGATCATCAGCTTAACTGAAAACATTGGTCTTAGTATTGGCTATGGGACAGCCTGTTCTACTGGTTCTTAACTCTTTCAACAATGGATCAAGATAGGTAGCAAACAGTTTAGGACTAAACTGTTTGCTACCTATCTACCTAAACAGTTTTAGCACTAAACTGTATGCAGTGTGTTCGACCCCATTTTGGGGGGAAATTTTCATAGCGGACATTACTTCATGCCACAGCTAACTTGCGTATCATCTGATAAGAAATATATAAATATCTAGCGATGACAGGACAGACTTTTCTACTAAGCTATTCTCTAACACCATGATGTCTTCAACTTGGCCAAAAGCTTTGGAAGCATCAAGAGGCTACGTATCCGTATACAATAGAGTTTCGTATACACACTGAAAGTCAGAGGTGTGTGCTTTGTCAGCTAGAAAGTCAATAAATATATAATCAAATACTGTGTTAAATAGTGTGTTTAAGTCAAGCTCTATAGTTATCCAGCCCATCCTCCTCTTGTTTTGGTAGTACCGTACGTATATTAACGATGAGGTCCATAGTACATATATATAACGATGTACAACGAAATTAGAACGTTGGAATCAGAACTATTGAGTTGGACAAACCGGGAAACTATTTTTACTTGTATTGCTTTGCCAAACTAAACTAAGCTATCCTAACCTCCCTAGGCGTAATACACAATATCTGAGGCCTAATATAGCACACATGTGTGTTATACTAGGCCTAGGAATATTTACGCTTGTGTTTTAACTTCATTTATTTTAAAATAATTCCTTACGAACCAGTATACTATTATCTAAAAGCAAAGAACGTACGAATTCGTGACTATTGACGACTATTACTATAGGTACTATCTAAACAGGAAGATGAGTTATCAGACTTAGACCTAGAAGCTCGGCAATTCGTTGCGGTGGGAGCAAGTACAGTGGTGTATATTACAATGGGAGTAATATACAGTGGGAGACCACTGTACCATGGGAGAGAAGGGGTATAAGCCACAGTCACCGCATTAGCTAACCAGAGGTTGACAAGGTAGAGAGATCATGGTTGACCCTGTAAGAACATCTAGGTGACTGTAAAGGAACAAGAACTTGCATATTGTGATGGCCATACTCATACAGTTGGGGTTATCTTGACATGATGATTGTATATCACGTCTTAACACCAACAATAGACAAACCTTTTTTTCTTTCATATATAACATTTTCAGTCAACATTAATTTGAAGAATTCTTTTGTGCCCTTCACAATAAAGGTCGACTATACAATGAACCAGCTGCAAGGCAATTCCAGGCTCAATGTAAACTATTATGTCTGGACAACGAAATTACGTTCTCCAGACAGCAGTAATTCTCTGCTACTGGATTGAACTAGTGTTTTCATTCTTCTGGCGCCACTCCTACAGCCTAATCCAAACAACATTTGACTACCAAATTTAGCAACTAAAACCCCTCTACAGTTTCCAAATAGTTTGACTGAATTTAAAAACTTTATTTGTAAATGTACAGTTGTTTACAGTTGGACTGAACTAGTGTTTTCATTCTTCTGGCGGCCCTCCTACAGCCTCATCCAGACGAAATATGGCTTACCAATTTTAGCTACTAAAGCCCCTCTACAGTTTCCAATTAATTTGACTGAATTTAAAAACTTTATTCATAAATATACAGTTGTTTACAAGTACACTAATTCAACAGTTTTAATTCATAAAAATGTGATGCGTCTGTAGTTACCATTTTGCGGAACTTTCTTACCCATTATTCACTAATGCAATAAAATCTTAATATTAGTGACCTTACACTGAGCATAATAATTATAAATAATAAATTGTATAATAACAAAGGGCGAGACCCCGCTTGACATAATGATCAGAAGTGGAATACAATAAATAAATATATTTTTACAATTTACTAAAACTACGATTTACATTATGAGAGACGGGAGATACAACAGATCACTCATATATATATATATATATATATATATATATATATATATATATATATATATATATATATATATATATATATATATATATATATATATATATATATATATATATATCTTGAGATGATTTCGGGGATTTATAGTGTCCCCGCGGCCCGGTCCTCGACCAGGCCTCCACCCCCGGGAAGCAGCCCGTGACAGCTGACTAACACCCAGGTACCTATTTTATTGCTAGGTAACAGGGGCATAGGGTGAAAGAAACTCTGCCCAATGTTTCTCGCCGGCGCCTGGGATCGAACCCAGGACCACAGGATCACAAGTCCAGCGTGCTGTCCGCTCGGCCGACCGGCTCCCTTGTATATATATATACAGTCCACGGAGGAAGAATTGAAACAGGAATTTCCTTAAGTACTTTCGTATATTAATACACCTTCAGAATCAGTCCGTGTAAAGCAGATCACCCGGT